AGTCGATTGCTAACAAGTGGCTAAATGAGACTACAGACGTTGTGGTGACATTAAAACATGGAGACTTATCAACTCACTAGTCCACCTTTACAAACTATCAAATTAACTAACTATAAATTCTAACTCAAACTTTACAACTGGTACATTTTAATTACAATGTGGAAGTAATGCAAGCCTGGTGTAGGTCGTTTATAGTTACATTAGATTTTTACTTTTAATCTTCAAAAATCATAAAAGTGGTGTTCATTTGTGAAGATTATCTTGCTGAGAAAAACATATAAATATCATAAACCTTTGTTGGCCACAGAGATTATTTTCTGCATAATCCAAAATCCAGGTTGGCCTACAAAAATACGTCATCCCTGAAGCACTCTACTGTGGAGCAGTTCAAAAAAGTGGATGCTTCAACACAGCTAATGAGCAAGCTTACTAGATAGACTTTCTGGCTCTCCATTCCCTCAAAGGTCAGCACTGTCAAGACTGCTCACTATTGGTCAACAGCGTAACAAATCTTCAACTTTAGTAAAATTGACACAAAGATTTGTTTCATCCAACCCAATAAGCAAATCCACTGATTGCTGCGATTCCACTGAAATGCAATGATTTTGCCGTAAAGTTTTGGAGTTGTTGTTTAACACGACTTAATGCTGTTGTATTTGATGTGAGGACACAAAGGGAAACACAATAGGATGTTTCCTCAGCAGACATTTTAACGTGTTAAATGAAAACAAAATCAGGTTTTAAAAAATACTAATGGTGGCCATGCTAGTTAGCCCATATTCACAATACCATGGGCTTGAACTGGCACACCTACATAGAATGGAGCTGTTATTTGTTACACTGATGCTTTTCCTATACTCTGAAATGCCTGCTGCTGGGGAAATACCTATTTGAAGATAAATATCCGCATAAGTGGGAGAAAAGACACAAACGTCATCGGATGGTTGCTTTTCATTCTCAAAATGTAACTTCCTGCTTAAGTTGTCAAACGTTATGTAACAGCAGACTAAAGGGAGGACCTGAATAAATACCATAATGATATGAGGTGACTGATTCGTATGCTATGGCTTTCAAAGTCACTTGATCTCAACCCAACTCAACATCTGTGGGAGATTTTGGAGTGACGTGACAATTCTCTCCACTACCATCATCAAAACCCTAAATGAGGGAATAAGCTTCGTCCTCTCCCCCTGCCTACAGTGTCCACACACAGGTCTAGTTTTACATTCATCTGGTCCACCACTTGGGTATGTCATTTCAGAGGTCACTTACTGGATCAGATTGCATTTTTAATAAAACAGCCCCATATATGGGTGTAATCCTGCTTTCATGTGATATACCATCTACCAGCAGTCTTTACTGTGATTCCATTGCATGCAGTGGATTTTTCCAGTGTAAATCATTATGTGTTTTTCTCTTGACTGGTAGATGAAAGACAAGGTCACAGCTAGATGACACTGTACTGTCAGCTCTATCACACACACATGCGCTCACACGCTCACACACCCATTCCCTTCCTCTTCCTTTCAGCCTGCGTTAACATCACCAGTGTTTCCTGTAGTCCACACAAACAGATCAATGGCGCTATGAGATAAAATAATGCATGAAGTTATGCAATCAGTTAAAAAGGCTTTTTCCCCCACACATTATATTTAAATGACATGTGGTGCCATCATGATAGATCTTCGTGCAATTAAGTTTTATTTGAGGCGTTTACATTATTCTTTTAGATTAGGATGTCCTGCTTAAATGTGACAGGGCTAGATAAATCAATCAATTTAAGATATATTACTAAACATTGTCTAATCCAGCATGTCCAGATTAACTAAATCCATTAAAGTAAAAGAAACAAACAAAACAAAAAAAAACCTCTCCCTCTCACTGATGATGTTAGAGTAGTGTTAGCACCCAGTGTTAAGGGAAGACTAGTAGGGAGGATGTGGGGGTTATTTGTTTCTTATTTCTTTTTCTTTGTTAGTCCTTACCCTTTATTTTGTATTAAGATCTTCATTAATCTGTAATTTCTTTTTGATGTGCCTATTATTTGGCTTCCTATTTACTTCAATGCCACATGCACAGTTGTACACTGTAATGCGATGCAAGTGACCTAAACTAAAAAACAACTGTTTTCACAGTGTATGGACTACGAAAATGAGCACTGAATGTACTAATGTAATGTATGTGAAACATATCTGCTCAATACATTTATTTAGTACCCAGTATTACTCAATGATTTATTAATTTTTTTAAAAGGGAGGATGGTCCAATGGGTTAGGGTGAGTAACGCCCATAGGTCTGAGGTGTAATTTCAGTAGTGCAGATACCACTGAATGATAGAAACAGTATATATTATAGGAATATTACAGTGTGTCTCTATGAACCTCTCCATTTTCTGCGACTACACTTTGCTACTTGACATTACTCTATAGAGTACAGGCTACAATATAGTATATAACTGAGCATTTATAGTATATACACAAAAAGTAGTTCAGTGGACCTTGTCACCACTTAAATAAATGTATGGTTGCAAGATGAAAATTTGTTTTTACAATATAGTTAGTTAGAGAATATTAAAGATCCCAGATGAAACTGACAGAGACGTTGGACTGAAAGGAAAAAGTGCAATTACAAATCCGTCTGCAGCTTCAGCATGGATTTATCAATACACAGCACTGTGATATTTTAGTCAGATAGTGGATCAATGAGTCAGGCAGACTAGACTAACATATTCAACATACCAACCCCTCTAGCCCTGCACGCTCTCTGCTACAAGGGAATGGAGAGGGGGTATGGTAGGTTAACAAGGAGATGCGAGTGGCAGCCCCCTGCACAGGCCCGCAGGTGTGATTGGTTGGATTTCTTTCCCTGAGTGATTCAGTTGGGGTTTTCAGAGATGCTGTACTGGGGCTACTGTTAGTACAGACATCTTTTATGGGGATTGTTGAACATAGAAAAAATCATGTGCTTGATTCTGAAGGACTGACAACCAAACCTGACTGTAGACAACTGATTATTTCTAGCATCCTTGGGAACTACGGCATGAGCTACAGGTGTGGCTTAATGCTTTAAGTGTGTGTGAAAACATCTGTGAGAAATTACTATTTGTTGGAAAACAACAATGCTGGCTGCTAAAGAGGTTAGCGTAGATGCTGCTAGCTAGCTTTCCCAA